GTCAAAATCTCCTTCTCCCTCAATCTCTATTGTTCTCCAATTGGTGTAAATTTTATAGCCAATAGTTTCTTGTGAACTTTATCAAATTAGTGTAATAATTTTTGAACCATACCAAGTTGGTCTCATGTTTTTTTATATGATCTGGTTAATATCATATAAGTGTGTAAGAAAAATAAGAAAGTAAAAAAAAGCGATAGAGGGAGAGGGAGAGAAACTGAAGGAGAATGATAAAAATTAAGGGAGAATGAGAGATCAATCTAGAAAGAGAATGAGAGAGATTGAGTGAGAACATTAGGTAGAGAGAAAGAGAGAGAATGAGATAAATTGATATAAAGAACGTAAATACAAAAACCAAAAACCATTTTTATTTATTTTCAAATCAAATAGTCGTTGAGGAGATAAAAATGACATGAGTGAAAGAGTGTGAGGGAGATTGAGAGAGAGAAACTAAAAACCCTTTTTTTAATTTTCCAATCGCCCAACATTAAAGGGCAATTTCAGTATAAGCTTTTTATTATGTCCAATGTGGATTAAGAGTCCCATGTTGGCAATAGCCACATAACCCTCCGATGACATGGCAAGGGCTTTTATAACTTGAAATGTAGAGCCGTTTGTTAGAGTTTTGTTGGTTTATGGACCAATTTGTAACCAAATTTTAAATGTACAGCCGGTTCCGACTATAATTTCCCCTAATTTAAAACTAATCCAAAAGCAATGCTATTTCTTGTTTAGATGGTGGGTCAATAATCCAATTTTTAAAAAAAAATGCATGATGTCATAATTGAATAATAAATATTTAAGTTTATTTTTAATCATATTGTTATTTTTTTTTTAATTTTCAATTTCTATTATAACTATGATATATCTAAAATTCAAGTAATTAATATGAAGAAAAATTTCTTACGTGCAATGCATGTGCTTAATTACTAGTATTATAGAAATACATGTATACTGATCGGTTCAGTTAACCACTGATTTTCTATACTAGTTAACCGAAATCGAACCAATACCTTCGATTTTTTAAAAATACCGAATCAAAACCAAATTGACCAATTCAATTACCGAATTATCGATTTAATTTTTATTGATTTTTTGACTCAGTTAAATTTTTCGAATTTTCTTACCTCACCCTGCAATCGTACAAGTCAATTGTTTGCATTCCCAATCACATAGTAGGCTCACATGTTTGAATCATTTAATAGGCCAAATTATTAGGTCACGAATCCCTAACTTGGGGCACGCTATTAACATCTAATGAACGATTTTAGAGTCTCAGATTAATTTTTTTGGTAGATGTACGGGAATTATTTGCAAGTAAGGCTGTGTTTGATTGCAGTATAAATTTATTTACACTAGTACAAATGCAAAATATGCAAATTTTTGTTTAAATTTGTTATAGATTTTACTTTATTATGCTTCCTATCTTAATTTACTTTATTTATATTGCAATCAAACAAAATAAACTAAAATTTAAAACAAAAATAGATCAGAATTTACACTCAAATTATTTATACTACCATGATTTTACATCAGTACAAATTTATTTACATTGCAATCAAACACAGCCTTATAGTTTGTATTTTTTCCTTCAATACCTAACCACCAATGCTATAAATCATGTGTTTTGTTCTTTTAGCAAAACAGACAGGCAAGCTTATTGATGAGTCACAGGTGTTAATTAATTTTGGGGTCCCATCAAAGCAATTGTTCAATTAGTTTTGGGAGGCCGAGCAGCATATAACCAGTAGACAGTTTTTCATAACCTTAATATGCCAATTAGAAATTCAAAACCCATCATTAGAATAAAGATGCTTAAAAAAGGAGGATTGATGCTTATTTTTGCAAAACCTAATTAATGGACCAAGTAGACATCTTTTCTCAAACCAAGAGACTTGCTTGAAATTCACTTTACGATAATATAGCTGGGTCTATGGATCGGTTTTGGATTGGACTCGTCCAAATTAAAATTAATTTGGACGGATTAGACAGACCAAGAAGACATATTGAATTATAGCAGTTCAGATTTAATGGTCCAAAATATTTATTAAATTGGATTGGACCTGATCCATCTGTAATGAATTCATATTAAATTGAAATGGATTGATTCAATATTTAGTGCATTAATCGAAGATAAAAATATAGGTGTCACTGAACTAAATTTAGGTTAAAACCAATTTAAATTAACAAAAAATTGAGCAGACTGGAAATTGGACCGATTCCTAATTATTCTAGTTGTTGGACCTAACTGTACATTGTTGAATTCTTGACTGTAAAGCAATTTCCACCCATACCTCCACTTAACATCCATCTTCTATTCCCTGCATTAAGTTACTCCCCAAACGCTTTATTCTTTAGACTCTACTTATTCGTAACCAAAATAGGATGTTCCCAAAAATACCACTTATTATGAAGTACCAAAAATTAGATTAATTTATACAAACAAATTTAATTAACCCAAAATTAATCAATATCTCAATCGAATTAACATGTTAAGTTTTTGTACATGACTATATTTTTGAGAGGGGAAAATTGATCAAAATATCTATATTCTTTTCTTTCTCTATTATTTAATAGGGTTTTATAACTAAAATGATCATTAAACAATAAAAGAACATAAATAAATACATTTACTCGAATAAATGTTTCCTGACTAAACACATTTACCCGAATAAATAACGGAACAGAACATTAGTAAAATCATTGCTTTGCCATTGAAAGTTGTTTGCTTCCCTATTCTACCGATGTTTTCCACAATTTAAGATTTCCTCTTTGAACCAAATCCGGTGTTGCACTAAGCGCGTAGTTCGAATAGCCAAGCCCTGAACTGATTGACCAATCCAATGTTAAGTTTATCAGTTGGTCAGTTGGGCATAAGGGTGTCAATGGACCGGTTTTGAATCGGACCTCATCCAGTCCAAAATTAATTTAGATGGATTGGATGGACCAATAAGACATATTAGATTGAATCAATTCGGTCTAAAATATTTATTAGATTGGATTAAATCTAATCTATCCGTAACAAATTTATATTGGATTAAACCAATATTTGGTCCATTAGTATAAAATAAAAATATATGTATCAATGGAGGCTGAAATCAATCTGAATCAAAATGAATTTAAACAGATTTAACGGTCTAGACATTGAATTGGAATAGTCCAAATTGGTCCCGTTGGATTGGATCTGGTCCATTAATAATAAACTTACATTGAATTGAACCAAATCCAATCCAATTAACACCCCTAATAATAGGGCATACCTTTAATCATGGTCCAAAAACTACATAAGTGCTGGACCCATTAATCCGAAGTTTAGGCCCACTCAGATGTGAATGATTAATAAGCTCAGATTATCATCCAAAAGTCATGACCAAACTTACCACAAATAAACAAGTATATGTTTGGCATGGCTTTCGTTTATTAAATAACATTTGTACTTGTTTTAAAAAATGGTTGGTAAATGTTTTTTTAGATTTGTTTACAATTAAATGTCAATAGATACAACATTAGAACCGTGAATAAATGCTAAACCATTGAAAAAAAGGGAGAAATTTCAATCAGTATCCTGTATTTTGGCTCCAATGGTAATTTGGCTCCAAATTTTAAAATGCAATAATCCAATACCCAAACTTTCAAAATGTGACAATCCAGTACTTATCATTAACTAGTACATTAATCAGCTATTAAATGACATTTGAAAAATCAAAAATACCCTTTGAATGCGATCTACTTCTCTTTATCAATTATCCAACATTGACAAAAAACTGAACAATCCCAAATCCTAACCTGTTGACAAAAAAAACTGAACAATCCTGAATCCTAACCTCTTCTATTCAATAAAGTTGGTAACTGTTTAAAAAAAGGTAAAATTTGAAACTATTCATTGTATTATCAATGATTGAATGATTGATAAAGAGAATTAGATGACATTCAAAAGAAATTTTTGACTTTTCAAATGTCGCTTAAGGACTGTTTAACAAGTATTGGATTGTCACATTAAATTACTTAAACTACTCTTAAAGTTTAACCCTTACTGTTTGAAAATTGACTAACGCTACCTTTTCTAACAATTGACTAATGCTTACTATTAGCGCCCTTAATATAGAAACAGAGACTGGCTGCTATTAAATTCTAGATGGAACTGGCATTGGCATTGAGGGCAGCAATGGTTTCTCTCCACCGATTATCTCTCTAATGATCGCCTCTCTCTCTCCCCTTTTCTCTTTTCTTCTCCTTCCCGCCTTCCTACCGTTTATCATTGATTCAAAACACCCATTAAATCACAAAACAGCAGCTTCTCAGGAAAAAAAAATTCTTAAGACAATAGATGATGCCTCAAATTAGACATCAAAACAGCTTCATCTGATCACTAACAACAGCTTACCAGGAGGAAAAATTAATTTGTGGATGTAAATAGCGTGATTGCTTCTAAGAAAGAAAATAAAGGAGCTAAAAGTGTTACAAAAAATTGGGACACGGAGGTTTTTCCAAAACGTGTTGGAGCTAAAGCATCACCACAAACGCTACCGTGCGTTTGCCTACGGTGCAGTAAGCGAGAGGTGCTCTCAGAGCTATCGGTGGAGGAAAACCATTGCTGCCCTCCCTGCAAATGTCAGTTCTATCTAAAATTTAATGGCAGTTGGAAATTGACCCACCAGCATTAGAGATTAGACTTGTTAGAGAAGGCGGTATCTAGTCATGTACTCTCTCTCATTTCTCTATTTTATTTTTAAATTAAAAAAAAATAAAAGGTAAAATAGTGAAGAGGCACTCAGAAACAAAAGGGATTTATAAATAAGTGAATTTTTAAACAGTAAGAATACACTTGGTGCTAAACCTAAGAAATTCACCCTTTAAATGTATTGGATAGTTTAAGAAATTCACCCAAAATTAGAGAACCAAATTGTCGCTCGAACCAAAGTACTGGTGGCAACTTGATAAACGGAAGTACGTGGGCCAAATACTTTTAGAGGAAATCAAACAAGATAAATTCAAATCCAAAGTGAAAGTAATCCTAAATTTAAACTCAGCCTATCTAATTTACACTTATATCAATACAAATGAAATTTGCATTACAAAGTACAAAACAAAGTGAGCTAAACTCAGCCTATCTATTTACAACCTCTCGAGTCAATATACCTAAAAGGACCGACTCACAAACTCAACTCAACTCACCACGTAATGCTCTTAAAACCCTCGACTGCGGGGAGTCTGGATCCCCTCTCATGGCCGATTCTCTCCAAATTTCAGCGGCTCTCCTCAGAGTCTCTTCGGCTGTATCCAGTTGCTCCGGCTTCCACCCAATTACATCTCCACCGCCACCATATTCTCTGGCGCTAACGCTGCTGTCTGTGGCCCGTGTGATAGGCTTCCTAGTATCAGCGTACTCAACCTCCGACAAAGGGGATGGTTTGCGATCCTTGAAATACGCTTTGTCATCTTGCTGTGTTTCTCTCCGCTCAACTTCATCCATCGTCATCGGCAAAGGGGAGCCGTCCAAACCCGCGCAGCTGATGTTTTCGACTTCGATGGCTGTGGCTACTGCAACCCCGTTGGCCTTGTGGCAGTGGCGCCGCTTCTGTTGTGTCGAAGAGTCCATGGACTGGTTCAACTCCCTACTCTCCAACTTCGTAGACGACGCATACGGTGGTGTGGCAGAGGAAAATGGGTTGCTTCCTTCCTTTCCCTTCTCGTGCTTCTCTCGTTCTTGTTGTTCATCTTGAACGATACCAGCTTTTACGGCTTCTTTTGCATCCATTCCCTGCAAAATAACCTGAATTACTTCCAGTTCCACCCCAAATTCTCAGACTGTCAGTATAGCAAGCTAACAAACAAACGGAGATCTAGATAGAGATAGATAGAGTACTTCAGGATTTTCTGCGTGAATGGCAGGATCGGCAGTCCGAGCCGTTGAGCTTGCGGCACGGATCCACCCTGCTGAGAATGAGGAAGAAACGGCGCACAGTGCCCTGTTTGTTGCAGCTAACAATCTCGATTGCATTTTTTCTTCTCCTCGTTGTTGCTGGAAACGGGGTGCGTGCAAGAATGAATAAATTGAATATCACTTGCAGTGCAGAGAAAGGGCAAAGGGGTGAAGGAACACTGACTGACGATGACGAACTAGCTCCTTCCAGAAAAAAGAGGGAAATTGACACGCGTTCGGATACTCAGATAGTGTGATGTGGTCGACCTAAGATCCTAAATAGTCCCTAAATTGGCTTGCGTGCCGCTGCATAACTGGCTCATCTGGCTTTTGTGGCTAGGTGTCTCCTCTAGATGGCTGGAGAAGTTGGGAGGATCGTCGGACTACACGTTTTGGCAAACAGAAAGGCAAGGTTAAAAGAGAGACAAAAACAAAAGCCTACGTGGCAAGAGCAAAGCTTAAAGGACCGACTCTGGTTATTCCTCGATTCCTCTCGAATGATCCCAGCATCCAACACTATTGACATTCCTCTCTTCTCTTTAATTATACTGGCGAGTTAGGCTTGATAATAATTTCATTGAATTGCTTAGCAGGGTTGTATTTGATATCATTCTTGTTTTGAATTGATGGGGTGGGCCTAAGTTTTCGGATGTAAAGTGTTGAGCCCGGCTCATAATTTTGCAGATCCGGGTCAGGCTGGATTTTCAGTTAGGCAGGTTGAAAAATTATTGGTAATTTTTAATAATTACTGATAATTTATTAATATAAAACTAAAACAGAATGATAATAATTACTAATAATTTATTAAACTAGGTCTAGAGGTGTAAATTGGGTTGGGCCGCTCGTAGCCTAGCATGACACGGCACGAAGGCCCATGAACCATGTCAGGCCTGGCACGAAGGTCCGTGCCATGCTGGGCCACGGGAATATAGCCATTGCCCCCTCTCACCCCCCACCCCCAATGGCTAGTTTCAGTTTTGTTTTTTTTTGGGGGGGGGGTGGGGGGGGGGGAGGGTTTATAGAAATACCCACCCAACAGCTATAAACAGCCATATTAGGGAGGTATTTGTGTATTTTGCTTATGGGGGATTGAAAAAATGACATAAATGCCCTCTCAATTTGTTCAATTTATTATTTGAAATGTACAGTTTGTAGGAAATATTTCTACAACTTGTTCATCTTCTTCTTTTACTTCTGACCTTGAACTCAGTAGTAGAAGAGAAAAATTTTTTTATTTAATAAGTAGAAGGCAGAAATCTACTAGTTCTACAAGTTCATTTACCGAACTTAATTTTTATTTACAAGCAAATTTTTTCAATTTAGGTAAAGTATCAAATAATTTTGATATTTTAGCCTGGTGGAGTGAACACTCAAAAAATTATCCGGTTCTTGCCACCATGGTACGTGATCTACTAGCCCCTCCGGTGTTTACATTTCCATCGGAGTCTTGTTTTAGTGTAGGTATCAGGGTTCTAGATGACAAAGGAAGGTACATGAACGATGAGAGCATAGAGATGTGCATCTACTTCAAGGATTGGCTAGATGTAGAAGATAGATTACAAGACAAGAGAGGGCATGATATAACACCAGACATTTCACCCGAATCAGATGATTTAAGTCATTAATGATGATTCGTGAATTTTAACTACTTGTATAGAATTTTTCATTTTTATATTTTATTTGATATATATTTTTTTAATTTTTTAACAATGTAATTTTGTATTTTCAATTTGTAACCATATTGTATTTTTTATATTTTATTAATTTATTCCATTTTTATATTTTATTCATCCAAGTATGCAATGATCCAATCATTGTATTTGTAATTCATTAATTTGTACTATTCATATTTAAATGAAATAAAATTCCTATTTTTTTCTAATTTTTTATTCCATCATTCTTATTTCAATTTGGTTAAGTATTTTTTTTTCATTTATGTGTTAAATAACTTAGATTTCTCATCTCCTAATTTTTAAATAGTTCCCAATTCCCAAAGTAAATATTTTAGTTTTACAATTTTACTTAGAAAAGAAATCAAAATTTTCAGAAAAAAAAGTGCAGCCCTGTTCAGCCCAAGCCCAAGGCCCATCCTATGGTACAGCCCGGCCTGGCCCAAGCACAAGGCATGGCTTGTAGCCCGGCCCGGCCTAGGCCTACGTGCCGACACGGCACGACACGGGCCCGCCTCAGCCTCGGCCGTGGTCCGTGCCCGGTCGACCCCCAAAATTTCCACTAGGGAGGACAACACAACCCGTGGCGGCCCGTGGGCCTAGCACGACCCACTTTACACCTCTACCTAGGTCTGAGTTTACCAACTTATGTCCAACCCGAGCTTAACATAACATCTTGGGCTAGACTTAGGCTTGGGTGTATTGAGTTTTATAGCCCAATTTCTAAGTAGAACATATTGATAAAATTGGGTTGGATCGAGTTTAAATTACGTGAGGCCTCAACCCAAACCCAACTTGAGTTTAGGTTAGCCTTAAGTTTTTTGGCCTAAACCTAGCATGAAGTTCAAAACTCAAGCCCAACTTGTGCACAAGCTTGGGTTGAACTGGGTCAGGATCTAGTTAGGCCCACCCAACCTAAGGTACACCCCTAGATCCTTTTGCCTTGAATTCTTTTAACAAAACTCGTGCATCGCAAGGTCCCCCCTAGTAATTAATAGCACTAATTTTAATTTATAGTTACATTTTTTTAGTAATATTAATTACTAAGAACAATAATATTTTATGGTATTTTTTAATTATTCACAAAATATCAAATAATTATTTTTAAAATTTATAATAAATATTTTTAAAAATATTAATAAATTTATAATTATAGTAAATAATTCTCAATTATGAATTAATAAATTTTATAATTCTTAATTTATAAAAATATTTCTATTAATAAAGATAGATTACTATTATTAAAAGTAATGATAGTTAATTAAATAATCAATTTAATTATTCATGACACAATTATTAATTTTAAAATTTTGATATTAATAAAACAATTAATTATTGGTAATTAATTAACTAATAAAACAAATTTTAAATTTCTATATATATCACTTATAAATTAATCATGAATTATTAATATATCACTAATATTAATTACTAAAAACAGTAATAAATTTTGGTATTAAATTTAGGAAATTTTTAATAAATCATGGATATAAATAATAGATTTCAAGTGAATTTTAGTATTGTTTTTAATAAGTCCTAAAAATAATTAATTAATTTTGGTAAACTATTAGTAAATTGTCGACAATATTAGTAATTAATCCCAAAAATATTACTAAAATGAAAATTATTAATTATTAAAAATAGTAATATTGTTTGAGAATTTGTAATTAATCACGAAAATAATTAATTTATTTTGGTATGAATTATACTAAAATAAATTGAAAATTTTAATTATAAACAATACATAATATACCATTCAAAGTGAATGGCTTGTAACTGGGTCGGATTAATGAAAACCAAACCATACCTGATCCAATAGACCACAACACTTTAGCTAAATGGATCAAATATATATATATATATATATATATAGAGAGAGAGAGAGAGAGAGAGAGAGAGAGAGAGAGAGAGAGAGAGGTGTCTTAATTAGAAGTAGGGAAGTGGGGATTAGTTAAGAGTATAAAGAAAGTTGGTTATGAACAATATTTTAGGAATGAGGAGAGGTTTTTATGAATTAGACTTTAGGAGAGTTTTAAGAACAATAAATTATGAGTGCGGAGAGGTTTTAGGAGATAAGGGATAAAGAGAAATTTTACAAATATATATTGAGCTAGCTAATTATAAAATGAAGATAAAGGGTGTTGAATTGGCTTAATATGAGTGGTGGAAAGGGAAGAGGAGAGAGAATCAACGAGAATTAAGGGTGGGGGTAATGGAGCAAAGAGAGTTTATATATATAGATTAATAGAAGATCGAATAGCCCCATTTTTTGGACTTTTTATTAAACATTTTTATCCCTTATCTAAGCAAAGGAACTGTCCATGAATTGTAAATAGTTTTATGTTGGAGATACTGTCACATACAAATATGTACTAATATATATATATATATGTTTATATGTATCTCTAATATTTTATATTTATTATATTAAATAAGAATTAGTGTAATGAAATAGATATTTTGTAATTATGGAAATGATACAAAATACATGATTTTTTTTTTCTGTTTTTCGTCTTCAGACATTCAGACAATTATTAATGATATATCTATGGGTTGTTCTTTCATTGTGGTTTTAGCTGCAACATGAAATAAAAGCTAAGATGGAGACTGTGTAAATACTAATATAAATTACGCTGCTAATGAATGCAAAGAAAACTACAAATAGGACTGAAATTATGATATACATTAAAAGAGTGCAAATTTACCCTAAACCAGGATTTATACTCCATTAGCATCGTGTCCAAATGCGGCCTAAAGAAAAAAAAGAGATACAAAAGATAGGTGACAAGTTATCACCCGAGCAACAGCCACTAAGAAACTCTTTCCCCCTACCCCAACCCCAACACCAAAGACCACCTAACCTTCCAACAAGAGAAGATAATAGACACATTGTGAGAGCGACTTCTACTCAAACAGACAAGATAATATACAGTGTTTTTGAACCGGTATTGATCTGGACGGTTGAACCATTTGGCACAGGTGTCGTTCAGTCAATCAGTTCCATTTAACCTTAAACTCGCTCTTTAGTCAAATACCAGTGACTTGGTCAATGACCTATTGATTCGGACAGTCGAACCATTGACTCATTCAACTGAAACAGCAGTTTTTTGGCCTTTTTTATTTTAATTATTTTTTAAGTTGAAACGGATCATCCGTTCAAATCAGACGGTCGAACTGCTGACCTAAAAGCAGTGGCCAAAGCGGTTCTGATTAGTTTTTATGACATTGTCGTTACAACCCTTTCTTCTTTCCCCTTCTACAACTTTTTTCAAACTCTCTTCCCTCCTCTCGAACTCATCAATAGCTCTTCTATCAAATGCCTCACCACCCGAAAAGAGCAAACTGAGGCTCTTGCCAAATCACAATGATCTCAGCAATTTCTCAAAATCTAAATAACATTCCTTCACTACTTTTTCTTCTAGAATCATATCAACCACCATCAAATAAAATTTTTAATCCCATCTACATTCGTTTTCCCCTTCTTAACCATCTGTCGTAAATCCGAAGTAATGGTCCAACTGTTTCACTTCATTTCTCTTACAAAATTTCTTACGTTCTGTTTGGTTCATGGGAATCGAGGTTTGGAATCAGAATCGAACTGGCTCAACTGTTTGGTTGTACGTGATTGGAATCCTGTTCCTATTCCTGGTAGAATGCCATTCCCCCATTTGAGGGAATGGTCATTCCCTCCCTCTCCTTGAGAATGAAATCACATTCTACCTGATTCCAATTTTTGTTTCCATTCCTGTTTGAACCAAACATACTATCGGAATAGACCATTCTAATTCTAATTATAAAGGATTCTGATTCCAATTGCAAACCAAACAGACCCTTAATGTTATTCGTAGGATCTGCCCCGATGAAACTGAGCTTCAACACTCGAAAGTCCTAGGGGTGAGCAAAAAAACCAAAAAACCAAATCGACTGAAAAAAAGAAACAATCGAAATGAAAAATTGATTAACTGAACCGGTCGGTTCGGTTTCAGTTAATCAATACAGAAAATCGACAGTTAACTGAACTGACCAGTATACATATATTTTTGTATATTTTATATATATTTATATTATATATATATATATAATATTTTTATATATTATAAATTAATAAATATGCATTATATATAAATATATAGTATATGATATATTATTTATTATTTAAAATATAATATTTTATATATATTTATAATTTATTGTAAAAATAAAAAACCAAAAAACTGAGGAACTGAATTGACAATTAACTAAATCAGTCAGCCTATTAACTGAATGGTTTCAGTTATCAATTTTCTAAAAACCGATATTACCAGTTCGGTTACGAAAAAAGGTCCACACCCGAACCATGAGCACCCCTAAAAAGACCCTTGGTGACATGGACAATGTTGCAGCTTATTGGAATAACGAAATTTATTAGGAACCACCCCAACTCCTTTCAGCCTCACTTCTCTCCTCAACCTTCTCTCTTGTGATCCACATCAATTCCTAAGTTACCAATCACCACTTCCTCAAACATCCCAAGGGGATGATGGTACCCCATCTATAATGACACTACTTCCTCACCATCCTCTTTTTTGTCCCCAACCTTAAATTTCACCCCTTCAGCTTCCTCCTTTAGACCTCTCAAACTTGGCTCCTTCGAAACAGAAAAAATTCTTTGATTCACCAAAACATGTGTTGGGCCGAACTTTGCATCTTTATCAATAAAAAATGTCCAAGCCCGAGCCTTGCCCGGCCTTCAAGCTTAGGTCTTGCGCCAGAATTTAATCCTTATATAAGACCTAAAGCCCGAGACCAAGCCCGACTATACATAGAATGTCCTATTTTTGTGTAATTTAATAAATTAGTATTATATTAATTTGATAATAATTTAATAAATTAATACATTAATTCATATTTCATGAATAGTAAATTAATATTTGATAATAACTTTATAAGTAAATACGCATTATATATTTATAATATATAAATAATGTATATTTCTATTATATGCAAGGTTTAAAGTATCGATACAATACAAGTTTCGGTACTTATAAACGACCGATACATACTTTTTTTTTCAAAGTTTAGTTTTTTAGGAAACTTATAAAATATTTTTTATTATTAAAAAAAATTGAGGGTCTGAAACACATGGAAACAGGCGTTTCGAACCGTATCTTTTGAACGCCCCGTGTCGAGCGTATCGTATCGATACTTTGAACCATGACTATATGTAATAGTATTGGGACGAACTCGGCCCTGGGTCGGGCTTATCAAATCAGCCCGAGCCTAGCCTAAAACATAATCGAGCCTGGTATTAAAAGTCTAAGCCTATAAACCTAAAATTTTGTCAAAGCCTAAAAATATCGGTCTGGGTCGAGCCAGCCCATGAATCAACACACATCTTAAATAAAATTGACCCAACCCATGAGCCCAAACCTAGTGCAACCTAAATGGTTTAGGGTCCTGATGTGGGATACTTTGGCCCTCCTAATCATCTTGCGACACATGGCATTCGAGTGACACCTCGGTGTTGAGTACGCAAACCAAGTTGGCAAGTTACCTCCACCTTGGCCAGGATGAACTGATTGGCTCCCCACTCGTGGCAACCTTCTTTAGAGACTAATCGAGCTGTAGGAGTCGATGGCGACCTATGAGGAGAACTTGCTGACTTGGAGTGACAATACGCTATCAGCCTGAGACCTCTAGAGCGCATATACCTCGACCATCAAATCGATCTACTACATCGCACGCCTCAGAGTAACTCGGTCATGGTGTAACCTCCGCACTGATCTTGCAACTGACATATTAATGCCCCCAACTAAGCGGAAATGGCTTCGTGAGAAGATGAGACCCATTGTGAAGGGCTCTAACCATAGAAACCTATAGGGGTGCTCACGTTTTGGTTACCCGAACCGTGGGCCTTTTTTGTGAACCAAACCGATAGTACCGATTTTTGAAAAACCGGTAACTAGAACCGAATCGAAACCAATCAATTAACAGGTTGGTCAATTAGGTTAACCGCTGATATTTTAAATTGGTTAATCGAAACCGAACCAATGCCTTTAGTTTTTTAAAAACACCAAACCAAAACTAAACCAACCAGTTCAATTAACTGATTTTTCTATTTTTTTGCTCACCCCTAGAAACCTATATAAAGCACTCACTTCTACTGAGAGAACACGCGTGATAATACACTCTCAATAAATCTCTAAACATCTTCTAACTTGAGCATCGGGAATCTCTTGAATCAACATTTGAGTCACTCGACACGATAGAGCAACTAGCTCGCGCAATATCAGGTTCCATGCCCAATGACCCGAAATATAAGGCAATCTGGCCCACATATCAACGTCATGTTAATTCAACCATTTGAACCATTCAAAAAAATAAAAAAAACCACCTGTCTAACCCGTGAGTCCACTGTAGCATGAATATTTAGGATTAGGATCTAACCTTTGTAGGCCCGACCCGAAATCCGATTCAGGTTTATATCGGCATAATTCAACCACCCGAGAATATCAACCAGGGCACGAACCCTCCCCGCTAATCCCAAATAATGCAAATTTTGCATCGGTGGTGACAAGTGCGGTGAGCTATCTAGTCTGTTTTACTACTACTAGACTACATGTACATGATGAGATGCAGCGTCTCGCTCCTAATATAAACCGAAACTGGATCTCCTGCCCGCAGCTCCGCAAGGCCCACGGTAGTTATGTTATGTGGATAGACGTGGGCAGGAGATCCTGACTCATAAAAACCATGGCCGCCCCCAACTCCCAAAGCTCTGCTGAGTATTTCCCCGGTTCCCCGCCCTAAAACCTAACCGTCACGAAAACAAAATATTCTGCAAATCAACCTTAAATCTAAAATTAAACATATTTAATAAAAATAAATCCACTCTTCCCATCGTCATCATCCCCATTGGCCAAGATATAACGTAAAAATGATATCAAAGGTCCTCATATACACTGCCAACATTATCATTTTCATACACTTGAACAAAAAAAAAAATAATAATAATAAACAGTAATATTATGTTAGCAAAACATGCCCCTATCTGTGGCTTCCAATCCATCCGTTCATGTCACATCCCCCATCCAATCTGCTTTCTTCTTCTCCGCTTCAGAACTCAAATTCCATTCTCTTTGTCTTTGTAACAAAATCAAAACAAAAAAAATAAAGAACAGATTGGGAGAGGGGCCCGGATACTGAAGAGTAACATCAACCAAGAGAAAATACAAAAAAGGAGGTATTACTGTATTAGTGGTCAGGTTTCTTTTTCCCGTTTTCTATGCATAGACAGAGCCATCAATAGTACGGCCGCCTGTTCTTCTTCCCCCAATTTCCTTTGCTTCGCTATCGTCCATCTCTCTAACCAAACTTCTCTTCTCAATGTTAGCAGCCTCAGCTGCTTCAATGAGACACCCAGCTTTTTATTCTTAGCAGCAGCAGGTTTTTTCTCCCTCTCGGGTCCCCCTTTATTGAAACCCAGGACAGCCCTCCTTTTCTTCCTGTATCTGATCCCGCATGCATTACAGAGGGTCTGTATCGCAGACAAGATGTAAAATGAAAATTCACAATCAGGTGAAATATAACCCAATACAACTTGTACCTGAATTCGTAAATGAATAAAATCAGAGAGCAGGCAAATGGGTTTTTGACAAGTGATCACCTTAGGCCCAGCTGGGCCACCTCTCCACAAAGGGGTTTTTGTCGTCCCACAATCGGCACAGCTCTTCTTGGCCTCGTTCCTCTGGCCTTCTTCCGATGATATGTTCATGTCTTCAGACTCCGATCCCTGTACATGAAAAGGGAAGAATGAAATAGAACAAAGCAATCAGTCCCCTCGAAGCAAAGATCATGGATAAGTAATCCAGCATCCATGATGAAAATGAAAAGCTCATTAAAAGAAAGGGGGAAGAGACAGAGAGCCAGAGAGAGCAAAATGATCACTCACCTTTTCACTGAGATCCACCATCTCTATCACTGCTTTTGAAGAACTAAAACAAACCCAGAAAGGCGGGCCAAATTGACGAAATAGAGTTAACCACTTGGTCTACGTGGGCTATTTTAAGCAACAAAATATACTCTCCTCTGTCACACCAAAACCCTAATAATTTGGCGAAGAGGAATCAGAATAAAGTGGGGCTCAGATAGCGAGATAAATGAAGGATGTAAGAGAAATGTAGCCGTAGCAAAAATAGGTATTGCATTTAAGGAAGAGATCCCAGACAAAAGACCCAGAGACACAACACAGATGTAGTGAAGTGGAGCAACAGAAACAGAGAGAGAATGCTTTTCTATAAGAGAATTGATCAAATCTTGACGAATCAATGAGAGACAAGGAACCGACGAACCGTTATCAGGCTCCAAGATACCAGAGAGAGAGAGAGAGGGGAATAGAATATGATGGTAAGAAGACGAGGAAGTAGTGGAGAGTAGAGAATGACCGACATGCAGAGAGAAAGAGTGAGTGAGGAGAATGAAATAGGAAGGAACCGACACACAACATAACATAGTGGGTGATTCTGACCACCGAGACACGACACGAAACCCTAGCCGCCTAACCCTAGGTTATTCTCATTCATATCCCAAATTAATAAATAATATTATAAATAAAATGCCCTAATTTCTACTCTGATCATTTTGATGACTAAAATACCCTTCACTCAAACATTTGATCCGATCCACACCTCTCGCTAGCCCTAGCCCTAGCCCTAGCAAACCCCTTCTTTTTGTTTTTAATTTTAGAGCAAAAATTATTAGGTAAATTAGAGATTACTCTGTATTTTGGTATAATATAATAGAGTGGTATGGTTTGCTTAGGGTTAGGGATCGCGAGGAGGGTGGAGGATGAAATGTTTGAGTAAAGGGCATTTTCGTCGTTAAATTATAGAAGTAAAAATTAGGATATATAGTATTTGTATTTAATTTTTACAATGTTTACAAAACCAAGGTTGGGCTTAATATACCATTAATGCAATTCCATTGGCAAAAACTTTTTTACTGGAAAACTCAGAAAATCAAAATCCTTTGGGAGAGGGAGAGCGCGCAATTTAAGAATTTTAAAAAAAAATGCCTTCAAAAAAACTTTTGTTGGTTGGAGAAAAGGAATCCGGATATGCTACCTCGTAGTCATACAGCGCTCTGGTACCAATCTTCGGAGCGCATATTGCAACCACGCATTAGGAATATCTTTCCATAAATGATAACATACAATTACTTTTAGATATTCCGGATGTGTGGCTGCAAGTCCCAAGAATGGAGTTAAAGGATTTTTTTTCTGAGGGGGCAAAAGTTAATAAATTTAGATAGGGCAAAAATAGAAGTGAGATATATGGGAATTGAGGAATTTTTAAAATTTTAAGGGATAGGGTGTGGGGCCATGGCTCCCTCTAGCGAGTGTTGTGAGGAGAAAACCAGGATTCAAAGAAAACATTAAAATAAGTTAGGCTATTTTTAAGGCTTCATGTGCATGACAAGTTAGCATGGATGTGGGTTAAAAGTGTAATTGCCAAATAGATAGTTGTATTGCTGTAAAATCGAGAAAAATAATTAATAAGCAAAAGTTTTGTATTTGTATGTGTAAAATGAGAAAAGCAATTAATGAGGGCGTTTATAATACATAGGCCCCATTAGACTCCTACCCGTTTTAGGAAGCTTTAAAATGAGGCTTTCTAAAACGGGGGAGGCGCACAGAAATCGATATGTGTTATACATATGGATGCAATTAATGAGGTCTTTGTTGATGGGGTGCCTATGTGACAGCGTTACTCAATAAACATAAACGGAACCAAACACATACATTGTATAGTCAAAAAAGCATATCATATGGCATGAATGCATATACTAAGATGAATGAGTGGAAAACTAAAAAGGATAGAATCATAAATGAATTCATTGGAATGAATCTAGGAGTGTATCCGAAATAGGTGATGTTGTCGCTCAGATTAGCCGAGGGCAACACTGTAAATTCACTCTTAAGATCCGGGGCAGAACCGAGGGACTCGAGGCACCGAGGACCGACAAGGCCAAAGGCTGGTGGCCGAGGTGTGCTGTCTCTCGGAGGATTGGAGAGGCCAAAGGCTGGCAGCCGAGGACTGGTAGCCAAGGAGAGGCTCCTTAGAGGCATGCATGAGGCATCCGAGAGAAGTGAGGGAGGATGCTCTACAAGGGAGGAGATGTCAGAGGCCTCGGGTGAGGACCTGAGGCAGGGACTCCGACGGTCAAGTTAGTATGTGCGCACAAGGAGAAAACAGTCCGGTGCGGGCGAGGGCTAAGACGAGGTCTCTCACATGCACTAAGTCCCCAATAATACGAATACCAAGAGTCTCTTTGGTTCCAGATCCTTAACCTTGTGGGGGTTACTTCATATTTATACTCAGAGCCGCCTGGAGGTAGTTGGACTCAAATGGCCCAGATGCGAGCTGTACGAGGGGTAGGACGTGGTTGTCTCGCGATGCCACGCGGCATCCCACGGTTGGGCCTACAAGGTCCACAACGTAGCCCCACATACACCGCAATGGATCCCAGCTAGCGCCTGTTGGCTGGACACGCATCAACCTGGTGTTGTCCAAGTGGAATGCGCCTACATCACTTGCCCCCCCACTCTCAAGGCCGAGGTGGAGGTCTGGGTGAGACTTCAACTTCGGCTAATGGGAGTATCATTGCTGGTAGGCGCCATCGGGCTCATCTGGTGAAGGGTGCCCTGCAGTGGCGTCGCATCTGTCCCGCTTATGCTTCGTCTGATTCTTGCTCGTAGGAGAAGGATAAAGTTGTAGGGGGCTCGGCTCTGGCTAGGGAGTCTGAGCGAGAGGGGCTCGGAAAGGCCGAGCCCATGCCTTGTACTTTCGCGGCAACGGCTTGGAGTCACGCGACGGGTACTGCGGGTTGATATGTCGGAAACCGTGCCTGATGTGGGTCGAGTGCGAGGAGAGTCTTCTGTAAGGGGGATGGGTCCTCGGGTGAATCGGACCACCCGTTCACTGGGTTGATGTGCCCGAACTAGTGGATTACGATGAGTGGGCCTGTTGGTTCGCTCGACATCATCTCGTTTCCCCGAGGGCAAGTGCCGAGTGCCATGCCGCGGATAGGTTACGAAGGCGGAGGCCTTACGACCGTTGGATCCAACAGGATCTGGGTCGTTCGTTCTTCTATAAATAGGGGCCTTAGTCACGCTTTTCTTCATCATTTGTCTCTAGGCGCCTTTGCTGTTGAGTGATTTCTGCTCCCAGAGCCTTCGGCTAGTTCACTTCTTCTAGTTGCCTTTAGCCTTTGTTCGTCTAAGTAACACCTTGATCCGATGTCTTATTCCGATTCAGGCCCCGAGTGCTATGAACTTTCCAATCTCTCGGAAGGGAGCTCTCTTCGGACTCCTACTCCACTTAGTTCCAATTTGGGACCGATGGCAGTCGTGGTCTCTCCTCAGCGAGGGGTGATGGTGCTAAGGGATAGGGTAGCCTTCGGGGGCGTTGAGGGCAACCGCCGAGGCGATGACCCTCCTTGTGAAAGTGCTACATCGGTGACGCAGAGGGAGCCTGAGGGGTCCCCCCAGGACAAGGGGGAGCCGGTCCCAGAACCCAACTTTAGGGCGGTAGCTGAATACGCTACCCGAGGGGTGACTATGGACCACTTGCCACGTTCAGAGTTTGACAGATCTCTAGATGTGGACCAAGTTATGTCCCTGGCCAGGCGGTTCCACATACCTCGATCTTATACACTTAGGGTGCCCGATGTTGGTGACCGACTATGGACCCCTAAGGAAGGGGAGATTTGCGTCTATCAACACTTCTTAGAGTTTGGCCTTAGCTTTCTCCTTCATCCCCTAATCTTTGAGTTGCTGAAGTGGTATGGGATCACCATCAGCCAGCTTGCCCCCAATGCCCTCAGAACCATAATTTCCATGTTAGTGTTGTCCCGACTTTGGGACGTGGAGTTGACACGAAAGCTTTTTCGTGCTTTGTCCTTGCCGAGGAAGCACTCCTTCGAGGCTGGCATGTATTATCTTCAGCCCGTTGATAACCCCTCGTCCATCCATAACTGGAAGGGCAAGTTCTTTTGCATTTCCTGCCCCGAAGGTTGGTCGTTCAGGTCAAGATGAGGGGAGGCCTGTACCACAGTCGAGAGGTGCCCCCCCTGCTTCAAGACAAGGAGGCCGCTACCATAGCTCACCTACTCGTGCTGGGGAGAGTTCGAGCCAAGCCTTTCGTGGGGCTCAGCCCTACCCCCATTGGTAGGAGAGGTCTCAGAGTCTTTTAATGTTCCCTTCATCTTCGGCTTACTGACTCCTTTTTTTTTCTTGTAGCGGTTCCCATGGATGCATAGAAGATGCTTTTGGAGACCGTCCGTACAAGGAATAAGGGTCAAGGCAGTAGCACACGAGGAGGGCAAACGCCGAGGTCTGCCAAGGGAGTACCCGCGAGGGTGGGCAGATGCCCATCCCCCCCAGGGAGGTCAACCCACAACAAGTCCCCATTGACCGAGGGGACCGAGGGAAGAGGCCTGCCGATGGGGGAAAGAAGAAGCCAGTCGAGGAAGCCAGCAGAGAGCAATCACCGAAAAAGCTAGCGCACAAGGAATGCCCTGCTAAGGGCGCGATGATGAAGAAGCCTCCCGCAATGGGCTGCCTCGTGGGGCCTTCGTCCGCGTAGGGCCCGACTGAGGAGGGAGAGCGTCTCACCCGGCTGTTCCGTCCCTAGTGGCAAGTTCGAGAGGGGGACTCCATCAATGAGGAGGGGGTCGGCAAGGCCCTGATGAGCGGGGTGGTCCCTTCGAAGGACCGATACAAGATGATGCAGATTGACCCCATGCTTGTTCATGATGAGGGTCTCACCTTCTTCGCCAAGGTAAGTTTCCTCTCTCGTACTTTGTCATTTCTTGAGTTTTGTTCGTTTTACTGACAATGCTTGGTGCAAGTCTGTCATCACTTCGTCAATCTAGGGGACCGAGTGGAATTCTTCTGCGACCACCTCAAGAGGGTCGAAAAGATCAACAAGAAGCTCTAGCTGAGTGTAGCTTTGACGGAGTGCCTTCAGGACGAAGCTGTCTCGACTTTGAAGGAGGAGAAGCAGCTCCGACAAATGTAGGAGGATGATTTGAAGGCAGAGCAGGCTCGACTTGGCTGCATGAAGGAGGCCCTTAAGAGGTCCGAGGAGGAATGGGCTCGCCTCGAGGGGATTGCATTGGAGGCCCAAAAGCGGGTAGCTGATGCCGAGGTACGGGTGGAAGAGGCTGTCCAGATCTAGAAGTTGACGGTGGAGTACTAGAAGTGCCTCACCAACTATGCGTCAGAGACATACCTTGAGGGCATCGAGGACACTAAGAAGGCCATCCTGAAGATGATTCCAGACTTCAAGGTGGACGAGCTGGAGGTGTATCCGGATTCCCCCACTCCCGAAGAGACTGCCAAGGTCCCCAATAGGGTTGTTGATGGCGCTGAGGACTCTACTGCCCTCCCTACTAGCGGTGAAGTGTAGATGGCTTCTTGTTTCTTTGCTTTTGTGCTATCTTTACTTTGTTCTTTTTTTATGTGTAT